AGCTTAAAATGCAGCTCTGTATCAAGGAAATGGAAAGAACCTAGAGCTACAGATTTTTTTTTTTTTTTTTTTTTTTTTTTTTTTTTTAAACCCGAATCACTTATTTTCAGGAACATTTCTTTCATCCAGAGGTCAAGTCCACATTTTTTTCCCAGTACAAATAGTCTTTTAAAACATTTATAACCAGTCTGTGCCAGTTGTAGGTAACAAGTAGTGGGCTTCTGATTGAGGGTTTAGAATTTAAACTCTGGAGGTTCACCCACATGCACATTTCCACTATATTTTTCTACTGTTTGTTGACATTTACAGTTTAAGTTATTTTTTGACCTATGAAGGAAGCTTGATTTTTTCTGGGGAAAAAAAATCTGAATTTGTAAACAGAATGATAATTACAATACCACAGTATACTATGATGATCTAGAGATCATCTGCTCCAACCCTCCCCTATTCAAGGAGGGTCAGCTAGACCAAAAACCTCAGCTGTTTAAACAAATTTATTAAACAGCTATATTTGGCTTTTATGACCACTGGCCCAGTCTTTGTTACTATTTTTTTTTTTTTTTCTGTGTACTGACAATATCAACATGCCCTCTCTCCCTGTTAGTACAGATTCATTATGTCTGTTTTGAGATTACAACATTGTAGTTTTAAAAGACAGTTGTCATCATATACAAGCCTTTCCAGTGACTTAGTCGCTACAGTCTCATCAGTGGAAGAACTGGGTCACGCAGTCTATATGAAAACCCCTGGGCCTTGGCCCCAAAGCAAAAGTGGTCTTTGAGGTCAATGCAAGCTGATCTACAGAAAGGAAAATCACAGGGAAAACATGATTTCCACATCACAAATGTCATTTCACAGTAAGATTCACTCTTTCTAGGAGAACCATCCGGAGGAAGAAGTAAAAGATTGTGGCTAAATGCTGTACTAAATAATGACAGCCAATATCAAACTCTATCCATACTTGATAATACTCTATCATCTACTATGAATCTGATGAGTCAAGGATTCAGCAGATTCCAAAGAGGAAAAATGTTCTATGGAGAGGCAATTTCCTCATAAGTGTCTGCAGAGTGAGGACATGCCCATGTTCCTAACACATATGTACACACAGAAAAAGAAAAGCCCCATCTTTCAGTTCTACCTCATGAGTTAACGAATTCCAAAAAGTTAAAATTAGGCTGTTAAAAATCTAATAGGTTTTTCAGAGTTCATTATTTATCACTCATTTTTCAATTATTTCTTTAGATTCTGGGCTATAGAATATCATGGAAGAGAAAAGGAACAGAAAGCCTGCAAAATTAGTTATGGAAGCAATAATATTAACATGCATGGAGGAGGTATTAAGAGCTAGTATCAGATCCAAACTGAGTCTTAAAGGAACAGGGAAAAGCACCATCTTTATTTCACCATCAGTTTTGGAAAGTCTATAGGCCTAAGATAGCGCTCTGGCTGGCCAAGGATACTGCTGTGCCCAGTAAATTAGGTGGGTTTTTAAAACAGAAGAAAACAATTGAGAGTGGGGGGACAGGGAAGATGGAGGAAGTTGCAAAAATGTTGGTCTTATGATTTAATTAGTTTAATTGCATTCACAAACATTCAAATACTATACACATAGAAGCTCAATAAAGAAAGTAAATTTTAGCACATCACTATAGGACTGGAAGAGATGAAGAGCTCTTCCCAGGATCAAATTTATAGAAGAAATCAGAAATGCTCCACAATGGCACAGCCAAGAGCTGGATGGTGTTACAGCTGATGATTTAACCTAAAAGGAAAAGAAGTGTTGAATAGATACTTCTTACATATGAGCTCTTGCCAAAGCTGGAGACTATATCTCCTGTGACATTTGTGATTGAATTATGGCTAGCTTAAAGCAACATCATTGTTAATCCACTGGTCTGTCAAATCTCTCTAATGTGTTACTTTGGCCAAGACAATGTTTTGTACTTAATTTCTTCCATGAAATTAGAGTTGTTAGGTTTGTTTATCTTTTAGTAATTTGGTTTAGTTTTGTATTAGTTTGTTTCTTCTCTCTAATAAAAATAATTAGCACATAAACAGAGGCAATTTATTTTTAACATGTCAGCATGAGTCAATAATTCTGGTAGCAAATGTAATTTAGCCAGGAAATTGCAGAAATACTTGCCCAGGTGTTTAAGTCAATAAAGTTTCCCCTTATATAGTATACACAAATACTATGTGGTGTAGAAAACTGGTGCTGATACATAAGATGGATTATCATGTATGTATTTTTCTTTAAAGTTAATCATACCCACTCCTAAGGTCTAACTAGGACTAACTAGGTGCTGAAACTTGGAAGGTGTAAATTAAATCATTTTACTGTAACTAATTTTCACTTACAGTTCTTCAGTGTGCAATTTACACCCACTTATAATCCTTTAGATTTCAACTGTGTGGTTATAAGTGTCTTGTGTGAAAACTAAGTAGGCTTGTCTCCACCAGAAGACTGTATCTTTAAAACAGACATTTTTCACATGATGAGGTTACTCTGGCCTTAGTCTTACAGAGTCTAGCACAAATACATTCCTCAAATTGCAGATCTATACCTCAAAACCCATCTTCTCATCCTCAAGTATTTGACTGCTTAACAAGACTGTTCCACATAGCCATATCCTAGGATAACACTAAACAGAAAATTAAACACTCTTTTTTTTCAACATTTCATCATCTATACAATATAAACAAACTGCTTTCCAGATTATGTGCTTATATATTTGCTTTTTCCTGTCTACATTCTGATGGAAAAATAAATCTTGTCTTTTCTTGTAAAATTCCAGAGCTCTTCTTTCATCTTCGAGAAAAAAAATCATGACTACCTCTTAATGACTTTTCTTGATGTGACTGAGTAAGTAGCAAAGTACTAAATGGAGAAAACAATGTACTTTTCTTAGTGCTTTCTTACTAATTGTTGCTCACCAATCCTCTTTATGTTCATTGCTGATTGCATCCACCACCTGCTTCCAACAGAATTTTCCATTACTCTACCAGGCTATATAAAGTTATAGAGCTGACTGCTTGTTTCATTGTTTTCTGGGTGGAATATTGAAGGGAATGAATATATTGTCTTGACAAATAATTTATTAATCACATTGTATTTCTACAATTTAATTTATTACATATTCAAGAAAAAAACAATCTAAGTAGATCTACCTTATTTTTACACATTTGCTTTAAAATACATTAAAATCTGCTAGAATCAATGATAAATACTTGTCATAGCTTTAATTCTTTTTTTTTTAACTAAATCAAGCCACACTTTTTTTTTAGACAAAAAAAAATGAGTAATGATTTTACATAAACAGACCTCTAAATCATTCACACCCCAGAAGGAAAAGGAGATACATTAAAAGATCCTTAAGGTGCTTTCAGAAAACAAAAGCATAGGAAGGTATGGTTAACAGGTGAAATGCACTTCATAACTGTTTGTTCCTGGGTACAATGGAGAAGCATTAGGATTTTAGTCAGGAGAGAGTTTCAAAGAAAATTTCTGTAACAGTGTGTGAACTACTGATAGTACATTTTCCTGTCATTCAGATGAGAGGGTTCCTTGTTGCAGAGATTCATAGAGAGATAAGATTTTTATCAGAACATTCTTGAAATTTTGTAATAAGTCTAGATTTACAGCGCAGAGAATGAGCTTTTACCATTTTGGATTTTCTAAGTTATTCTTCGTTGTCATTTAAGCATCCTTCATGATTGAGTGACTTGGCTGAAAAAGGGCAAAAGGGACTTTATACTAATGCTAAATGTGCTTGTATTTTGAACAAACTGCTCTGAATACTTTCAATCAGGAAAGAATGCCCAAAATAAGAACAAAAACCTTGACCCTATTCCTGTCTCTTACAGGAAAAAAAAAAAAAAAATAGAAAAAACACATAACCATTTCAGTGACAGACATTAATCTAAAATCATTACATTTTAAATCGCTGTTCATTACATCCTAAGTCCAGCACAATGTTTAGAAAAGGCCTTATATATATAATTGCATATGTTTTTTTTTAGGAAATTCAAGAAATTACTATTTTTCATCATTCTTTCATTATTCTAAGCTGTAGTTTCTGGTTGTATTTGTAAAAAGAAAATTCCAGAAGCCATCAATAGTTCAATACATATTGCAGTTCACTGGATGTTGAATATGCGAACACTTGAATATACATATGACTGTCTGTCATTCTTCCCATGTCCAGAAGAAGGCTGGCCAACTGCATTTGGGCACTGAGAACAGAGCCTTCTTTCTGTCTTTATACGGTATTGTTAAGTTAGGAGATTTTTGTTTATGTTGAGGCGATAAGGCACTAAAAACCTGAAAAGATCCCATGTTCAGGACTCAGTACAATATTTGACTCCCATGGTGGTCTTGTATCACAATCAAATGAGAAAAAAATCAACCACCAAAAAAAGAACACATTGTTGATTGAGTATTCCATTAAATATACATTTTTCTGTATTTTTCCATAATTTTGGTAGAGCAGAGCATATAGCCAGAAAATAAATAATAACAATTGACAACCTAGGGCAAACCTAGGTTCATCTTATCTAATTATCCCCATAAAAAGTATCCTTAGCAACTTTAAATTTCTCTATTTTTATTATTTGCTGATGAAATGTTTAAATGTAATATTTCAAGCACAACTGCACAAAGAGTAGAAGCAATTCAGGGTTTTCCCATTTAATGAAATAATTTAACTGGCAGGCATTACTGAGGAGAGCAGTTGTACCTGAGCTATAAATTTAGGTTCCATTTCATGAAGATTTTTAAGCATATAAATATCAAAAGTGATTCTAATCTGTTGACCTCAGTAAGAGCTACTCACAAGTGTAAAACTATTTATGTATTTAACTGTTTTGATAAATAGACTGTGAAGCTGAATTATCAATAATTGAGGCTCATAATATTTCAGAATTCTTAAACATCTTTCTTTGTTTTTATCCTATAGCCATCTAACTTCTTTTGTGTGTGTGCGTATCAAATAAAATTTCCTGAATTTCAAAACTTATTTTAAAAACACTCTAGCACTGACAGAAAACAGGTTAAATATCATGGCTCTTGGATCTTTTAGGGTCATTAATACTTTTTTTTTTTTTTTTTTTTCCAAAATATTGCAAAAATTACACAATGTATCACAAGGCAATCTGAGTGCTAGTCACTGACTTCCTCTTGGAGTGATACACAGGAATAACCTGTTCAGTGAAAGAGAATAATGTCTCATTCGCTCTTACAGCAACCTGCATAACTTTGGTCAGATGCCTTGTTATATGCCAGGTTGAAAAGTAGGGCAACATTTTTTTTTCTCTCAGTTTTCTCTATCACTGAAAACAGACTGATAAATAAGAGAAAATGTAGGAAATTTGAAGGTCAAATTTCAGCCTAGTCATGTACTGAGTTGCAGAAGAGATGTCCTGGAGAAATGGTAGACAGTCAGAACAAGGGGCTGAAACTCTCAAGAAATAAGGTGATTTGTGCTCATAAATTTAGAGTGGATGTACCTGATCTTCAACTTCTTCATCCTTTTGTTTATCAGTCACTTGTTTGTAAAATAAGCTGTTTGAGGTAAAGCCTATCTATGTTGGAAATATTTACACGTTTATGGAAGTCTCAGAGCATTTCCCTAATATAAATGAAGACATGTGCTTAGTTAAATTGTATTATCTCGACATTGTTTAATTTGTATTTAGTTGCAGGCCAAATCATATTTCGACTATGGACAAAGAATTGCCATTGCTTCAAATGAATAAACCACACTAATTACAAAGCAGGGCTTTTCTTTCCTTACAGGAAAATAATTAAAAATCTTCAATAATGTTCTGATTGAACTATCACTTTTGAAAGGACTGTGATACAACATTATTCACAAAATAGCTGGTGAAAAGGTTCTTGTTAGTTACAGTCTCTGCTGAGAGTTTTGCAGTACACACAAATCCTTTAATTTCTCCCCTCCTTCTCCAAAATGTTACTGAAAACTGACTTAAATTTAGAATATCTCACAGTAACTAAATTCTAATAACTTGAGCCTCTTGTGTTTTTTGAATCTATCTGCTGGACTATAGAGTAACATAGCAACGAGTAGTTGTCATTCTGAGATACAAGGCAGAAAAATGAGGCGGAAAAATTATTTCACTCCTCCTGTCGCATACAAATGCGACTAACATAACGTACATTTGTGTACTACACATATTATCCCCCAAAAGGCACTCGTTCATCATTAGCTGAACAGAAATGCTGAAATTGATATTTTGTTTTTCTATATTTCTCTAAATGATTACAAAATTAAAATATCATGCAGTTGAATACCTGCTGTTGAACACTCACAGCCACAAACCCCAATAACGCTGTTTCAGGTGAGGACAGGAAGAACATCATGTGTCAGATCTTTTCTTGAGAGCATTTACCAACAGCCCATTAGAGATGTCATGGGGTGTGTTTGTGTCTGATTATCCCCTACTGCTCCATGACAGCTTTGTAAAAGAAACATCATGATAGACACAAAGAAAGTGTAAAGCATACCAAAGTGCATAATACCACAAACCATGTGTTTATGATGGTCTTGTCTTTGTATTAGCAGGTTTCAGTCCTAATTCTCTGGGCTTGCTGAGGGGTCTAATTTAGTTTTGTGTTCTCCTACACTTCTCTGTGAATGAGTATCATAAAAGGGAATAAAAGCTCTTCTGCACGAGAATCAGTGAAAACATAGATCTGCTAGTTTTGGTGGACTTTTCTGGCATAGAGTAAGTTGAATACACTACCATGTTAAGATATTTTTGCAAGAAGTGCAAATGTGCAAATTAAATGCAACTTTGCATTTAATTTGTTGCAGTTGTTCTGAAATGTCAGCTAGTTTAATCAACAGTTTTGACTAAAATCCAACATGCCTATCTGTCTACTTCGTATGATTTAAATAACTCCATTGTGATCTTTGAAAACTGCACACCTAACTGTAAAGTCTCTAAATGACTGTCATTCTGACCTCTCAGAAGATCATGTCCAACCCTTCATTAACATGTGGTGTGCCACAAAATCATATTTTTTTATTCATTCAGAGATGAGTATTCTTTAGACACAGTCTTCAATAAAACTTGTAGTGTATCACTTGTAATATGCAAATACAGAGAATTTTTCTTCCCCAGAATTTAGTCTGCAAAAGGTTGCTGGCTGCAAAAACACAGTAAAATAGATAAGTCTGCAACAATAAATCATATCTATCCCAAAGCTGGATAATGAGGGAGTGGCTTTGATCTTACCAGTGAAAGGGGATGTTAGTGGAGATGATTAGAGATAAATCCTCTATTTACTTAGTATGCAATTATGCTTATCATTGACATCATGGTTGCCATAAAGAAGCAACACAAAATTTTATGGCCAGAAGGAAGAGTCTATCCTATGTCAGTAAGTTTGCATATAGCCCTAAAGAGGTGCACTCATACATCTTGTGGTTTAACATATAAAAAGCTCTCCTGTATCTGAAAAGGGTGATCTTCCTGAGGGTTTGTTGCCTATACAGTCTAACTCTCTTTGTAGCATTCATTTCACAAACCATTCTTCATTTATTATTGTTTGAATCATTTTAGCGAAGCCTTTATGATTACAATGCAAAATGACTGATCTGTGTGACAGCTCCTGAAACCTTGAGACTTAGTGAGACTTGCTTTATTGCAATATTCAGAGTATTGCTCATGATCCAGCACTCAACAGACTATCAATCATTGTCAGCAATATATAATTATGTATTTTTTAAAAGAAGAAAATATTTTCTAACCTCCAGGTAGCATAAAACACTTAGAAGTAATTGCTAGGGATATGACATAGAGATGCTGTCTCACATGCAAAGAGTTTGACTGTAAAGTAAG